GTTTTGTATTTCAGTCAGCATTTTTGTCCCAGAATGACATATTTTATCATAATCATGAAAACTGAACTTTCTCTGTATTAAAACCTTTAATTTAAAATCACTTTATTATTTCATTCATTTTTTTTAATTTAACCGAAGCATATAAACGACCCAGTAAAAAAATTTTACGAACTAGTAAAATCTTTTAGTTACTTGTTCTTCGGATCAGTGGCCGACTTTCTTAATTTCTACCCCTGTCATATCAATTATTATTATGATTATTTTTTTTTGAAGATGTGACACCATCCCAGCACAAGAAAATGCTATAAATAAATAATTGAAGTGGTCAATGTTAATAGGGGTTTGTAACATTTTTACGAAAATAAGTTTTTTTTTTTTTTGGTTTTGGAATATCAATCACCGATTATCATGTACAGAGTAATTTTCTAGACTGCCTAAAGAAGAGAACCCAACAATTCAATTTGGAAACAATTAAAACAATCTTTCCACAATCGACACAGTTTATGTTTTTCTCGAAAGTGCAGATTTGTAACATAACCCCTTTTTAACACTGACTGCTTCAATTAAGCTATTTACAGCCCCTAAAAATGCATTTGGATAATTTTTTAAAATATTAAAAAACTGTATCACTGTAATAATTAAATATTTTTACGGCCAATATACATTTTCCAAAATCATAAATTTAAATTTTTCTTACCAATAAATATTAAACAATCACAAACAGTTTATTCAATGACCACAAACAATTTGTTTTGAAGGTTTCCGTTATTGTTCTCGATAAACATGAAGAAACCATTAAAAAATAAAAGAGGTACACCGTGATTCGGGGTATCGTGGCAACACGACTTTAAGCGTAACATCTATTTTAACAAATTTTTAAGAATAAATCAGGAAAACGTGTTTCATATAAGCAACACAATACTAGCCCGATAAAATATTACAATAAATGATAATGATTAAGCTACACTGTAAAAAATTATGGTAATAAATACCAGCAATCAGGGCTCTGATACTTTTTTATCGTAATTTGATCCAGAATTTCTTACACTGAATTCCTGTACATGTATTTTGATATTTTCTTTTATCTTATTGAAACACTATATCACTATAGAAGTTTAATAATATGCATTAATAGCAAAAACACATTTTTCTAATTCATATGTTTAAATCTTTTTTATTGTTAATTATAACATTATTTGATATAATAAGAAGTTTAGTGAGCCGCGAATTCTTCGAAGTATAGATTTCATACTACATTAATTAAGTGCAAAAATAAGTTAGCTTTTATTAAGCGTTATTTCAATGAAGTTGTTTAAATTTCCAAGGAAGTCGTTAAAAAAAAATAGGAGGTTGAATCTTCAAGATAAGACATTAATTTCTTGGTAATAGAGACGTTTCTAAGAGCGTGACTAGAGCTCTGGGATTATTAAGAATGAAAAAAGAAAAAGAGGGGAAGGCAGTAATAAAACAGATTTTGGGACGATAGAGGGGGTACAGGAGTTCTATGGAAGTTAGAACTAAATCATGATTTCATGAAGAGCAGTTTAAACTTAAGATATTAATATTTTGATTTCTGATAGAGGAGGTAAATAATAATGCCTTATTGAAAGAATAAAAATATATTCAGACATACAATATTTTTTTATTTTTATGAAGCAACCATTTATGCACACTAAAATTGATATTTTTCTTTCCTTTTTTTCCTTAAAAAATGCGTTAGTTGAATTTATAGTTTTTCTAAATAAAAAATATTTACTAACTATTTATTTAGCAATTTCAATCCTAAATTTTGTTCAAGGATTCAAAAAATGAATTTTGTTCTCTAATGCTAATTTTTCACTGTTTTTAAATGATTTGCACGCGTTCGAAATTTGCAAAACTTCTTTATGCAATTAACATTACAAAAAACGCCAAATAGAAGAAACATTGTAGTCTGTTGCAACTAATTAAAAAAAGAATTTAAACTGATTGAATAAATGATTTTGTAATATGTTAAGCTACTTTTAAATGTAGTTTATAAAGAATTTTAGAGATATTAATTAACAAATAATATCGATAATTTTTTTTTTAAACTTTATGATAAATCAAACTTATTATATTTAGTAATAACACCTATAAATATTCATACGTGTTCACTTTCTCTTTTAGTGAACTTCTTCGTTTTCGTTATTTGATTCCACATTTTTGCTTCATTATTAATTTTTTTCTGGTAAATTCTGGTTTAAAATTCATTATATGAACAAAATCAACAGAAATAACTAAAAATTTATTTTATTTAAAACAATAAAGGTTAATTACAAGCTAAATTTTTTTCCCTGGGTAGCTTAAATCATTCAGTTGTTTTTTTCCAGAGCTTGAACCAGTCACTATTACCCCAAGAATTTCGATTCAATTTTCATCCGTTTAATTTTTTAGATCACAAGAATCGCAGCAAATAAATTCTGGTTTAAAATTCATTATATGATCAAAATCAATAGAAATAACTAAAATTTTGTTGTTTAAAACAATAAAGGTTAATTAAAAAATGGAACCTTCAAGCTTAATTTCTTTTTCCTGAGTAGCTTGAATCATTCCGTTATTTTTTTCCAGAGCTTGAACCACTTCAATATTTCCCCAAGAATTTCGATTAAATTTTTATCCGTTTAAATTTGATTTCTAAGGAATTTTCTTTCCTTCTCAATCCTAATGATTTGTAAATTATTGCATCTATTTGTACAGCAACTTCAGCACATAAGAGAAAGTTCAAAATTTTAAATATTATTTATTTTAATTACAAATTTTACAAAAAAAAAAAGTGAAATTATACAAATTTGATTTAAATTTTTATATCCCTAAAAATTAATTCATCACAATGAACGTTAATTTCAAAAAAAGAATGAAGATAGACATTGGAAAATCCGCTGATCTCAGTAACCTCTAAATGGAATTATAAATATTTATATGCAATTGCTTAAAATGTTGGATGTTTTGAAATTTTCATCGTTACCTTGGCTGTGATAATCAATGTCAAACCAAAGGCTCCGGTAACATTATTTTATGGGCTACTTTGAGTGTAAAAAAAAAATTATTGCTAAGAAAATTATATCTCTAATTATCTTCCATCTTACTCGGAAAACGAAAGACAATAGGCTTTTAAAATGCGGCACAATTTATGAACTATGTTTATTTATGATTTATATCTCTTTTTATGAAACATATTTTTATTTTTCTGAAAATAATGCTGCAGTAAAAGTAAACTTAAGAGCCCGCTAGATTACATCTATAAGTCACGCGACAAACATATTGCAAAATATAAAAATCGCACTAACACTAATATAATAGCACTAACACTAATATGATAATGGAATGAATATATTATTGGAATGAATAAACCCAGGATTATTGGAGCAAACTTTAAGAGGAGATAGGGAACATCACAAAGATCTAGATTTGCATAGCTACCCACAGTCGGAAATGTCTTCGTTCGCCGCTAGGTGTTGTTGTTCATAAGATGGATTGGACGTGGTGGACCGGCTTCCTGGCCACCATGCTCTCTTGTTTTAAGCAGTAAGTATGGATTTCTTTTTTGGGGGTGCTCTGAAAAAATCCTATGGAAGCAACACCAGTGGATTCCGAAATGGATCTGGTTGCAAGAATCGTCTGTGCTGCAGTGGATATCCAACAAAATTCTGGTGCATTTGCATCAGGTGCAGTGCATCACCAATCCATGGCCGACGGTGTAACGCATGCATCTCTAGCAATAGTGAAAAGTTTGAACATCTTTTAAGACATTTTCACACATCATTTATCAAAGCACATGACACCTTTGACCAATAAATATTTCAGAAGATCTCAGTCTTGTGTCTCTTTGTTACTTGTACTTGGCTAAAAACTTTCCCATGATGTTTAAGATCATGGGTTGCTATGCAATTCTGATTCCTTGTGTTGTAAACCTACCTCTCCTTAAAGTTTGTTCCAATAATCTTAGGACACCTAGCATAAGCGTGAAATACCATTTAATAAAAAGAGTGGGAATATGAGAGAGTGGAAAAATATTGAAGAGAACGAGGTCATTCAAAATAAGGAGAGAAAAAAATAACATTTAAAATAAGGAGAACTAAAAGAAAAAGATTTATTTCGAATTTTTTCTTCTTTTTCTTTCTGGTAAAATCACATTTATATATCGATATAAACTATATATAGGATAATTCAGTACAGTGGTTACAAACTCGAAGGACGGGTGGAACACATCATGAGGATTGAGGATAATTTGCCTAATTACTTCTTCCTTATAGACTGGCTGTTCGTGAGCATTTGAAACAGTTCTTTTATTGATCTAAATTATCGTTACTTCAAGTTTTTTTTACCAATAATTGTCGAAAATTACATTCAAATAGGCTTAAAAATAACTGCTTTATTGTAGTTTATCGATCAGTTTGAAGAAGTTGTCAGCTTTGTTGCCAAATTAAACCAGGATGAAACAGCTATATCTTGATCGATTTAAAAACACTTTTTGACAATATTTAAACAAATAAAATTTAGTTAGTTTAGGTGTATGAAAATACCGGCTCAAATGTACACGAACAGCCAGTTCAGAGGAAGGGGAAGCGCTCCTTGCTGTGTGCGATGAGACTTCGATGATATCTGATGATAGGTTGCTATGTAATTCTCATTCTGCATTATATATAATTATGTATTGACATATCTTAATGCGTTGTAGATTAAACACAATTTGATTAACGTTAATACATTCAAGTTATTTAAATGGAAGTGGATTCGGTAAATAAAATTGCAAAATGATTGTTGAATACTAGTTTTGAAATGCTAGAACACAATTTTAAAAACTTAATTTTATAAGTCAAATTATTAGACAATCATTGTGCAATTTAAAGAGAAGAAAATATATCAAAATGCCTAGTCGCATTGTTTCACCCATATCATTCTCCCCTAGCAGAACAGGAAGTTAAGTTCATTTATGGTAGTAAAGTACTGTAATTTTAATTTGTGAAATAAAATCTTACCGGCTACTTCTAGAGTGGCATTTCGACTTCGAGCTCTACCTAAATCGTTTATTGCTACACACCAGTAAGTTCCCGTATCTTGTTCTCGCTTGTTATGGAGTACGTGAAGAAAAAACAAAGATCCACTTGGAAGAATGTTGCGATTGGAATTATCATAGACCCGTGAGCCTTCGTGGTACCACTCGATATTTGGGGTAGGTCTACCCTCGGCGTTGCAGTTTAAAGTAGCAGGTTCATGTTTTCGAACTAACACATCAGATGGATGCTCTGTTATTCGTGGTGGACGAGACTGACCTAAAAATAAGAAATATTCGTGGTTAAATGAGCATGTTCATTTAAGAAGATTAACACATTAATAATATTATTGGATACTTTTGAGTTAGTATAGAGTATTGTTCGGAATTAGACTGCAAGAGATGTCTACAGCTTAAATCTCAACTGGAACATTTGAATTTTATCTCAAATTTTCGTTTCTGAAATGGTTGATAACTATTTAACATGTCTTATTCAATTTAAAAATTTTAATTTTTTAATTTTATTTTTTTTTTAAATTTTAAGTTTTTAAGAACAAAAAATTAATAAATATTTAATTTTTTAATTAAATTATATGGAATATTTTTTAAAAAAAATTGTAGATTGATATTTAAATTGAAAATATGCAATTCTTTTAAAATTACTAAATTAAGTTTTAAAAAAAATTGTAATTCAAGATTTAAATTGATTCTTAAAATTTTTTTAAATAATCCACACATTTTAATTAAAAATAAAAAATGATATGTGTCTATTAATTTTCTTTCTTTTTTATTCTCTTTTTTTAATTCTTTTTTTTAAAAAAAATAATTTATATTAAAAATAACAATTTATAAATTGAATTAAACATATTAAATAGTTATCAACCTTTTTAGAAAAGAAAATTAGACATAAAGCTCGATCATCCCAGTTGGGATTTGAATCCCGGACCTCTCTGGTAGATGGCGTGCAGTCTAACCGTTACACCAAAAATACGCTTCTGCTGGAACGTTTATGTTAGTTTAAAAGTAAATGAACTGAAACTTTAAGGGGTCATATTTTATCCTAGGGGCAGATCTAGCCTCTAATTTGTACCCTATCAAAGATTTTCAACCATGTTTGTTAAATTAAGCTTAGCTTTGTCTTAATATGAATTTTCACGATGCTGACTTCCCTTGTTAGAAAAAAAATTAAAAGTTATTTTGCCAAAGAAAAAATATGCATAAAATTTGCATGACCCAAAAATCCTCAGTGATTTCAGGATAAGAATTACAATTCCGGAACTTCAAAAATCCTAATTGAATTAAGAGTCCCTCAGATATGTCAGAATTCAATTATCAGTTAGATGATTTACGGATCAATTCTAAATAAATTAATTTACAGCTAAAACATGTGAAAGCAATCGAACTTAGCCATGTTATTTATTTCACGTGTATAATTAGGTACGTCAACGTTTGATACATAATTTCATTATTTAAATATAATTAGAATTCATTGAAATAGACAGAAATAGTTAATTTAGACTTTAGGATAAGAAAATGTTAGGTTAAAGAAAATGCAACTTTCATTTTGAATCACAAAAAATCTCTGGCTCTATATTTTTTCTGGTAGTGTAGTTAGGGTAGTAGTTTAGTTTGGGACTTTCATAGATATTAAACCAGTTTCAGGAACTTTTAAAGCAGTAAAAAAAAGCTTTTTGTTATTTTATTCTTGAAGTAAGTTGTCTTCAAGAATAAAATAATAAAAAAGCTCAAGTAGCGGCTGGTCAACGAGCTTGTATCAAATTTGTTACTTTATCTAAATTAAGTCGTAAAATAATAATAATAACTCAGAAATCGATTATACGTATCTTAAAATAAATTGGCTTTATTAATGCAACTTTTAGTGCTCAAGAATGAAAATATTCAGTTAATATCGAAGTTATTTCATTTTCATTACATCATCAAATTTAGAGTTCAAAGACTTGACGTTTTTTCCCATCTAAAAGAAGAAAGAAAAAAAGCAAGATAACAGTCATTTCAGCTAGGGCACTGAAGTAAAACATTAAAAAACAAAATCATACAGTGCTTTAATATAGCTGGGATGCTTTTAGTCAGAAATATAAAATTAACACTTTTCAAAATTGACAAAACCCAACTGTGGAAAAACAACAATGAACAGTGCGAGAAAAATGAAGGGAACATTCTACGAAAATAAGCGTTTCAAAGGACATTTTTCATCATTACTTTATAAATAACTATATTGCTAGATCTTCCGCCAAGTTTGAGAGGGTTCACCTGGACGACCGCCACACACGATTAATATTTAAGTCAATGAATGTGAGCATCAAGCAAATATAGAATAGAAAAGACGTTTCTGTGTTTACATAAACGACATCATTGAGAGAACTGGAAAAGGAAATGGGGTGATAGTGCAGGGACGGAGGGAAAAGGAATGAAATGAAAAAGCTTTCATATACCCGGAATAGAAATTCTAAAAATTACTAATGCTTACTCATAGAATTCAGTATACACTCATTCCGTTTAGATCCCATAGATACTAAAAATTATAAGGGGATAACCTTTGGAGTCAAACATCATATAAATTCATTATTGGCACCAAACAAAATATGCATTATGGTTAACTAAATAATCCTAAAAAACTGGAGAGGTAAGATATTACTAGATTAAAAACTTCATTCGCTTCAAAAATATACAAATTGGGAATAACAACAGTCGACATGTTTTACTTGCTCGAAAACAGAAGCCAAGGTATTAAGATATAGTGACCGGTGTTTGAATATTTCGGGTATAAAAAAAGTAGAATCAGCAATTACTTCTGAGAAAACTCACTAAAAAAATTTTTTTTTAAAAAATCTAATAAAAATCGTAAAATTCATTTACGAAATTCGATTAAAAAATTCGTTACATTTTACATTTTATTTTTGCCGTAAAACAAGAAATTAATTTAAATGATCTATTATAGGATCCCTATATGTTCGGACATGGATGCATGGCAACTCCGCCACTTAATTCAACTAATTTCACCATTTTTCCAATCAAATTGAACTGCCATTTACAATAACCGCATGAAAGTGCAGTAGGTAAGCGCGATATTATAATTCCATGCGCATCAATACTTCTAACAGCATTTTAGAGCAGTTTTCCTTGCATTTTTACACAAATAAAATCTAGCGTTGAAATAAAAATGTATGCGAATGCAGACTGGATTACCTTTTAGAATCGATAAAAATATTCTTTAGGGCATCAAGATAAATATCTGATGTTTCGCTCCTCATAAAGTCTTCTGCTTCACAAAGTGGTATTCAAGATGTTGGGAATTTTTCCTCGGATAAAGTACTAAATCTTCACTGATAAAAACCACTTCATCTTAAGCATCTGAAGAGAGGTGCAAACTTAAGCCATGATCGAATGGCTTCTTTTTTTCTTCTTCATACTATTTGCTTCTTCACACCTCACCTTCATTTTTCAAGTACCTGATATGAAAAGTCTGATTAATGGAGGATGTTCGCAAAGACACCAGTCGTAAATTTTCGTGTGATGTGACTCTATGTATGACATGGGCATTGATAAGAACCATCCCAACTCTTTCAACGAGGATAACTTGGATACCTTCAGATATTTCGATTTATCTTTGTATTTCCCCCCCAAAAAAGACTTAAAAATGTCTTCTTTTTTTTAAAAATCTTTTTTCTTTTTAAATCATTTGATCAGTATGAGAAGTGGGAACTTATCCGATTAGTGTTCAAGTTGACAAATTGGCCGGAACGTGTGTTGTTCACATTATTATGCGAAACGTGATTTACTAAATTAGATAAAAGACGTAAGGTGAGGAAGATATGCCATAAATAAGCATTTCCAATTCTTCTCACGTTTATATGCAGTTGAATTTATATTAATTTTTAAAGTAAAATATATTTATAAGTTAAAAAAAAAAACGATGTGATTGCCTCTTTTTGATGTCAGCATTTAACCGAACAAAAATAGGATAATTGAAGAAAATGCAAAAAGCAAGGGAGGAAATTTTGTGTGAAAGGCCGAAAAACATGATAACAATGATCAATATTCTTAAAATTAAGCCTTTGGGTAGATTTTTTGGCACGTTTTTTGGTAATTCGCAAAAAAGGATATTCACAACAGAATTAGTTTCTGAGTAAAATTGTATATTCACTCAAAAAATAAGGAAAATAGAAGTTAAAAAAAGAAAAGAAAGGAAGTCAAATATAATAAAAACTCGAATTAGGGACGAACAAGTTGTCAAAAACAGTCGAATCTCAGATTCGTTTGATCTGAATCAATGAATATTCAAATAAGTGCAGTGATTCGATAATACAATAGATTTAAATCAAGAGATTAAGAATCAGTTTGAAAATGAATCAATATATTTTAATCGAATCAACTGATATAGAGTAAAAAAGATAATTCGAAGGATTTTAAAAAGGATTAACTCAATAGTTTTCATTCGAATTATTAATTTATATCACCACATCGATTTGTATCACCACAATGTCCTACTTCACATTGTCATAAATGTCGGAGCATTGAACAATATCGGTCTAATTTGATGAACCCTTGGGGAATAAATTGAACATTATCTTGTTTCTTACAAGATACTATGGATAACATTAATGGAAACACAGTTCAATTTAACACCTTAAAGTTACAGCAAATTTGCCCAGTTATGGCTCAAGGTATTATAGTTTAACAATGAACCAATTTCTTGATAGTAGCAACATCTCTAATCACGAACAACCATTTAGATTTTCAGTATCAGTTTTTAAAAATCCCTTTCTCAACTTTTTAGAAAATCTTATCTTTTGTCTAAATAATTACATTTTTGTTCGGCTTATTAAACACACATTTAGCCTTATTGCAAAATTCACGACACCCTATTATAGACAAAAAATGTATCATGCTTTCATCTATAATATGTCTTTGTTTTTAGAACCTAGATTGTACAATTGACCTAAATCCTTGATTATATAATCAGTACATAATCAAAGCGTAGGAAGCGCGATTTAAGTCTCTTTTAATTGAGGTTCGCTGCATAAACAATGAACTGAGTGATTAATGATCGCAAATGGAATCGTTTAACATACTAAGGTGTTTGTATCATTCCTCATTAATATTTATTCCAAATTCAACGGTGATTTCAAAGCTAATGAAGTATCTTCAATATATTTGGAAAGGCGCAGGTTGTCTAACATCAAATTGAAGTTAGTTATTGTTAAAAATTATCACTATTATTGTTTTTATCTGAAAAACATGATTTTTCTGCGTTTTAAA